ATAGAGAGAGAGAGAGAGAGAGAGAGAGTTTTGTCACTACAGCCTCTACTACCAAGGAGTGAAGCTGAGGAAACTAATATTTTTACATTGGAAATGTTTACAATGAGGCCATTTGCTTTTGATATAAGGAGGTCATAATCTTCATCGACCATTTGAAATTGGATGGTTGAGGATGTGACGTTGGTTAGGTACAAAGTTCAAAACAAAATTTATCTGATACACTTTCATTTATTGGATTTTACATTCAATGGTTAAAAATAAAAATGACTGTGATCTCGTTGTACCAAAAAAAAAATGGTCTCATAATATATGATCTCTTCATAACATATGATCCTTTTTACAGGTGCATGCACAATGTACATCTCTTTTACTCTCTCGCTCATGTACGATCTACATTGCGCCCTCCCTACCTCTCATAATCTCTATTCAATCAAAGCACATTTATTTGATGCCTACTGTTTTTGGGACAATAATGGCTCTTGCATTCTATTGCTACTCATTTATACATGAGAGGTTTTTACAAGTGAATCTGAAGGTTGTAGGAAAGGGGCTGGGTCATGGTGCTACCACCCCCATACCTAGTTAGTTTCCAATCCTGTTGCGGTTTTCAGTCTTGCAGACACACATCTTTAAAAAAGCTAACTCTTTAATCTATTTAAAAAAATGTCTTCCCTATTGAATTACCAAAATAATAATAATAATCTAAAGGTTGTGACAAGTTTGGTATTTGTTTTTTTCTATAATGATTCATTTCCAAATTTATTCTCAGTAGAAGTCTTTGATCTTTTTCTTTTGCCTCTAAATCATCATCTAAAAGTAGTTCCTTAAAAAGTAACTTGTTAAAAAAATGCCTTCCCCCCAGAAGTAACAAAAAAAAAAAAATCTAAAAGTCATGAAAAGTTTGGTATTTTGTTTTTTTCTATGAAGGATTCATTTCCAAATTTATTCTCAACAGAAGGCTCTGATCTTTTTCTTTTGCCTCTAAATCCTCATCTAAAAGTAGTTCCTCAAAAAGTAACTTGTTAAAAGAATGCTCTTCCCTTATAAAAGATTCAAAGGGATTTCCCTTCCCTTCCCTTCCCTTCCCTTCCCTTTCAAAAGTAATATGAGCTTAGTCAACGGCATTACTTGATACTCTCCCAAAAAAAATGGCATTAAAAGTTGAAACTATCTGATTGCATATTCAACGCATTACTTGATACTCGCCCCAAAAAAATGGCATTATTTGAAGCTACCTGATTGCATATTCAACTGTCAACGTTGATTTGTGATCCTTGTGTACCAAAAGTAGACGATCTTGTTAAATGTTTTTTTATTTTGCTACAAAAAGAATTGCTTTTTTGTTGTATCTGACAGGTGGGCAGGAACAAATAAACGTGTATCGAGACATTAGGTCGTGTTTGGACATAGCACTAAGAGTAATGATACTATGAGACCCTCCCACACCCATGTAAGTAGGACTCTAAAGGATCACTATTAAATTTTGACATAAATCTTTAGAAAAATTATCAATAAATCCATTCACTCAAGTCCCATACCTATGTGATAACTTTTCTAAAGATCTGTATCAAAATTTAATTGTGGTCTTTTGAAGTTCTACTGGGTGTGAGACGATCTCATAGTGTCATTACTCTAATACTAAATGTGCTTAATTTTGTTATAGTAAAACGGTTGCGTATTAATGATTCTCTACAATGTGACTCTAAATAATGTCGATAGTAAATATGGGCTAGTAAAGAATCCTTATTCCATGGAGGCTGGCCATAGTAGGTGAGATATTTGACATTTGTAATGTTAAGAATGTGACTTTTGTGCCACATTCTTAATGAAGCTAACCAATATGCCAACGAAGGCAGTTTCTGAAAATCACTCTAAAAACTTCTTCAAAATTTTATTGATATTTCTCTACCTTGGTTTTCCTTCAATTTTAGCAATGGAATTTTTTCTTGATGATGAGAACAAGAGAACCAATCCTCAAATGTGTTTTATACTAGCACTTCTCTTCCCTCTATTGCTGGAATTAATTCAAGACAAATCAACAATGGAGGATGGGGTTAGCATGATCTATATGGTCACAGGAGCATAGTCACAATGGTTATCACCATCCCAACAATAAGTTGGATGGTGATAATGCAAGAGAGTAACTCCCACTAAATATGCCATCAATTCAATGCTATATTATTGATTCTCTTTAAGGATTGTATACTATCATACTATTTACTTTAGGTATAAAGAGGTTAGAATATTCTTAACGATTGGATAAGAACTAGATTGGATTAAAGTGTCACATCATTTGGTAAATTTTATTTTATGCTTTGTACCTAATCAATCACATCCCCTACCACCCAATTTTCTGTTTAATGGTCAACAATATTTTGATATCCTTGTACCAAAAGTAAACAAGTTTTATTGCATTCATTTTCTTCTCTCTTTATCACCATCAAACCCATTGATTACATGCCGATCACTCCAGTAGCCATATTGTCCAAAATCACACTCAGTATGCTTTGTCTTGTCCCTACTCTCTTGTCTCTCCATATTACGGTCAACAAATTGATTGGATGGTGATGAGTCTCACGACCATGCTAATGGTATATTTTATATGGTCTCTCTCTTCTCTCGCTATCACTGTTCCATCCATTCATTGGATGGTGATGGCTCCAATGATCATACTGTCTCACGACCATGCCGTAATACACTTTCCAGGTCCACCTCTCTCTCTCTAAGATCACACCAGCAGGCAATCTCTCTCTCTCTAAGATTCTCTCACAAGCAGGCAAACATGCACACAACGTGCGGGGCACAAGCATGCAGCGTATGCCGATAATATAAATGATCTTCTGCTTAATGAAGGCAAATGAATGTGCCAACTTCTTATTAACGCATAATTTGAAAAACAAGAAACTCAGAGAGAGAGAGAGAGAGAGAGAGAGAGCGAGAGAGAGCTTAAAAGGCTTGGTATTAAAAACTTTTGTTTTACTTTTAAAATTGAATCTTGAATGGACATATTAGTATCTTTTCTCTCTCTAAGGTATGCCAAATTAGGCCCCTTTTTTTTCGGCAATGCAGATCTTAATTGCATGGTTATAACAGAGTTGTGCATCTATTCTTACATTTATGCTCTTTTTTATGTTTCATGTTTCTCTTCTCTATCACTCTATGAGAAATTGGTTAGCCATTCTAGTGCTTTTTGTTTTAAGTTTGAATTTTGACCCAAAATTTTCAGCTTGGGTAACTTGTTTTGATTTAAGGCTGGTAATGTACTTACTGTGAAACTTTTGGACTGGAATTAGGGTTTATATAGAGCTTTTCTTATAACGAAGTAATGTGTTTTGTGATTCCATAGTTAGTGCAATGATTCTGGTTTTATGAGCCCATTTCCATTTGTTGCTTTGATCCTATGTTTGGTGCAATGGTTCTGGTTTTTTGTGCCAATTTGCAATTGTTGTTTTCTTCTTTATAGAGATCTTCAGAGAATTGGGTTATTGAATCTGTTACTTTCTATGAATGTTGTTTTTTGCTCTAATTTGATCTGTGTCTTTCTATGAATAGCGTGTCTTGCTCTAATTCAATCTGTTATCCATAATTTACAAAAGAATTGGCTTGTTGCACTATGGCCCCCCAATAATATTTCTTGTTTACGAGTTACAGTTTGCACTTTGCAGTCTTGATGATTTGTCTCTTTTAGCTGATCTATTCAGGATTGTCTGAGATTTCCTCTGAAATTTTTGCAATATAGACTGTACAGGCACTGTTATAGATATTGTTATGGGAAATCAGTGTTTGTGCATAACAAAATGTCCTAGTTCAAATTGGGTCATCTTGTTTTGAAGACAAGATGCAGAAATCCAGAAAGAAAATAGAGCCCAAGAAGGAAAAATCCCCATTTAAGAATTCTCTCACTAAAAAGTGGCAGTCAAAACCAAGGTGGCAGTCGAAACCAAGGTCACAAGTGAAGGTCATTGCATCAATTCTCAAAAAGAATAAGGCATCAGAGTTTACTACTCTCAGGAGTCTACCCTCTAAGAAATCTAAGGTTGCCCATAATGCAAAATCAGTGAAACAAACTATTGGGAAGAACCCTGGGGTAAATTTGGATAGGGTACAATCTTCACTGAAACAAGATGTGAGGAAAGAAGCTACTGTTGTAAGAGCTCGGAAAAAGATTAAGAAGAGTAAGAGGAAGCAAAATGTTCAACTTGATGAAGCTTCTCGGTTGCAGAGGAGAATGAAGTACCTTTTGGTAAAAATTAAGCTCGAGCAAACCCTTATTGATGCTTACTCGGGGGAAGGTTGGAAAGGTCAGAGGTATGTAAAAACTGATGACTGCTGCTCCTTACTTTTATGGTCTACCAATTTGTTTTGTTTCAGTTACTGATAAGTCTTTGGTAATCATCAATTTTTAGAAGTAATGATACAACTTTTCCAATCTTTAAACAACCAGAGAAAATATCTTAATAAAGTAAATATTAAGATATTGGATTGTTTTTTTTTGTTCTATTGTTATTTAAAGACAAAATTATGTAGGCATTTGAATATTTGTTCATTAAAAATATTATTACTTTTGGAGTTATTCCAAATTAGTTTCTCTTTTTGTTTTTTTAATTAACAGCCGGGAAAAAATAAAACCAGAAAGGGAGTTAGAGAGAGCAGAGAAGGAGATTCGAAAGTGTAAACTTGGAATACGTGATGCATTTCGGCAGCTTGACTTGCTGAGTGCTGAAGGATGCATTGAGGACTCTGTGATTGATCCTGATGGAAGGGTTTTTCATGAACATGTATGTATGGTTTAGTTTCTTTCTCAGTTGAGAGAAGCATAGTTCTAAATTCTGAAGTACATTTTATATATCATATATGATATAATATATGAGCAATTTTTTATTGGCTATTTAAATTGTTTAATTTAAAATTAATGGTTTTCCCAACTTTTTGGCTAATGAATCATATATGGTTTAGTTTCTTTCTCGTTTCACAGAAATACAATTCTAAACTCTTACCACTTCTTAACCATCATATGTGTAATGTTATTGGTTACGAATTTGTTCAACTTAGAACTAATGGGCCTTCCTTCATTTTTTTGATAGTAATCGCTCATCAAAATATCACAGGCTTCCAACAATCAAAGAAAAATTAATGAGTTTTCCATATTTTTTCTTGTTTATTAGTAATTCGTTGAAACTTGAACTATAGGATGGCCATAAAATGGGATTGTAAATACTTCATAATGTTTCATTGACAGATTTTCTGTGCAAAATGCAAACTGGGGGAGGCTTTTCCTGATGATGACATAATTTTATGTGATGGGGCTTGCAATTGTGGGTTTCACCAGAAGTGCCTTGATCCTCCATTGGCCACTGAAGATAGTAAGGAGCTTATTTTACTTGGTGAATTTTAGTTGGACCTTGCTGTAATTTCTTATATGGAACTAATAGGTGCTACGAGGTTTTCCTGGAGGGTAACATCTGTAGTACCTTTGTTACCTTTTTCTTTTCTTTCTCTTTTTTTGGTAGTTAGCAAAAATTTTATTAATGGAATTGATTTCTTTACAATTATATGTTGGCAAAATTGGTCTACTTCCATGAGACCCTACTGATCAACAATAATGAGACACTAATGGAGGTTTCATGGGCTCCCTCTCATTGCCACAAGGTCTCCTACCTCATTAATTTCTATCCATGAGTGCTGGAGCAAGATTGAAAGTATATCTATATATATATATATATATATATATATATAGTAACTTTGTAC